GGTACGTCTGTGCTTTGATTGCACACCTCTACGAGGTACGTCTGTGCTTTGATTGCACACCTCTACGAGGTACGTCTGTGCTTTGATTGCACACCTCTACGAGGTACGTCTGTGCTTTGATTGCACACCTCTACGAGGTACGTCTGTGCTTTGATTGCACACCTCTACGAGGTACGTCTGTGCTTTGATCACACACTTCTACGAGGTACGTCTGTGCTTTGATTGCACACCTCTACGAGGTACGTCTGTGCTTTGATTGCACACCTCTACGAGGTACGTCTGTGCTTTGATTGCACACCTCTACGAGGTACGTCTGTGCTTTGATTGCACACCTCTACGAGGTACGTCTGTGCTTTGATTGCACACCTCTACGAGGTACGTCTGTGCTTTGATTGCACACCTCTACGAGGTACGTCTGTGCTTTGATTGCACACCTCTACGAGGTACGTCTGTGCTTTGATTGCACACCTCTACGAGGTACGTCTGTGCTTTGATTGCACACCTCTACGAGGTACGTCTGTGCTTTGATTGCACACCTCTACGAGGTACGTCTGTGCTTTGATTGCACACCTCTACGAGGTACGTCTGTGCTTTGATTGCACACCTCTACGAGGTACGTCTGTGCTTTGATTGCACACCTCTACGAGGTACGTCTGTGCTTTGATCACACACTTCTACGAGGTACGTCTGTGCTTTGATTGCACACCTCTACGAGGTACGTCTGTGCTTTGATTGCACACCTCTACGAGGTACGTCTGTGCTTTGATTGCACACCTCTACGAGGTACGTCTGTGCTTTGATTGCACACCTCTACGAGGTACGTCTGTGCTTTGATTGCACACCTCTACGAGGTACGTCTGTGCTTTGATTGCACACCTCTACGAGGTACGTCTGTGCTTTGATTGCACACCTCTACGAGGTACGTCTGTGCTTTGATTGCACACCTCTACGAGGTACGTCTGTGCTTTGATTGCACACCTCTACGAGGTACGTCTGTGCTTTGATCGCACACTTCTACGAGGTACGTCTGTGCTTTGATTGCACACCTCTACGAGGTACGTCTGTGCTTTGATTGCACACCTCTACGAGGTACGTCTGTGCTTTGATTGCACACCTCTACGAGGTACGTCTGTGCTTTGATTGCACACCTCTACGAGGTACGTCTGTGCTTTGATTGCACACCTCTACGAGGTACGTCTGTGCTTTGATTGCACACCTCTACGAGGTACGTCTGTGCTTTGATTGCACACCTCTACGAGGTACGTCTGTGCTTTGATTGCACACCTCTACGAGGTACGTCTGTGCTTTGATTGCACACCTCTACGAGGTACGTCTGTGCTTTGATTGCACACCTCTATGATGTACGTCTGTGCTTTCATTGCACACCTCTACGAGGTACGTCTGTGCTTTGATTGCACACCTCTACGAGGTACGTCTGTGCTTTGATTGCACACCTCTACGAGGTACGTCTGTGCTTTGATTGCACACCTCTACGAGGTACGTCTGTGCTTTGATTGCACACCTCTACGAGGTACGTCTGTGCTTTGATTGCACACCTCTACGAGGTACGTCTGTGCTTTGATTGCACACCTCTACGAGGTACGTCTGTGCTTTGATTGCACACCTCTACGAGGTACGTCTGTGCTTTGATTGCACACCTCTACGAGGTACGTCTGTGCTTTGATTGCACACCTCTACGAGGTACGTCTGTGCTTTGATTGCACACCTCTACGAGGTACGTCTGTGCTTTGATTGCACACCTCTACGAGGTACGTCTGTGCTTTGATTGCACACCTCTACGAGGTACGTCTGTGCTTTGATTGCACACCTCTACGAGGTACGTCTGTGCTTTGATTGCACACCTCTACGAGGTACGTCTGTGCTTTGATTGCACACCTCTACGAGGTACGTCTGTGCTTTGATTGCACACCTCTACGAGGTACGTCTGTGCTTTGATTGCACACCTCTACGAGGTACGTCTGTGCTTTGATTGCACACCTCTACGAGGTACGTCTGTGCTTTGATTGCACACCTCTACGAGGTACGTCTGTGCTTTGATTGCACACCTCTACGAGGTACGTCTGTGCTTTGATTGCACACCTCTACGAGGTACGTCTGTGCTTTGATTGCACACCTCTACGAGGTACGTCTGTGCTTTGATTGCACACCTCTACGAGGTACGTCTGTGCTTTGATTGCACACCTCTACGAGGTACGTCTGTGCTTTGATTGCACACCTCTACGAGGTACGTCTGTGCTTTGATTGCACACCTCTACGAGGTACGTCTGTGCTTTGATTGCACACCTCTACGAGGTACGTCTGTGCTTTGATTGCACACCTCTACGAGGTACGTCTGTGCTTTGATTGCACACCTCTACGAGGTACGTCTGTGCTTTGATTGCACACCTCTACGAGGTACGTCTGTGCTTTGATTGCACACCTCTACGAGGTACGTCTGTGCTTTGATTGCACACCTCTACGAGGTACGTCTGTGCTTTGATTGCACACCTCTACGAGGTACGTCTGTGCTTTGATTGCACACCTCTACGAGGTACGTCTGTGCTTTGATTGCACACCTCTACGAGGTACGTCTGTGCTTTGATTGCACACCTCTACGAGGTACGTCTGTGCTTTGATTGCACACCTCTACGAGGTACGTCTGTGCTTTGATTGCACACCTCTACGAGGTACGTCTGTGCTTTGATTGCACACCTCTACGAGGTACGTCTGTGCTTTGATTGCACACCTCTACGAGGTACGTCTGTGCTTTGATCGCACACTTCTACGAGGTGCGTCTGTGCTTTGATTGCACACCTCTACGAGGTACGTCTGTGCTTTGATCGCACACTTCTACGAGGTACGTCTGTGCTTTGATTGCACACCTCTACGAGGTACGTCTGTGCTTTGATTGCACACCTCTACGAGGTACGTCTGTGCTTTGATTGCACACCTCTACGAGGTACGTCTGTGCTTTGATTGCACACCTCTACGAGGTACGTCTGTGCTTTGATTGCACACCTCTACGAGGTACGTCTGTGCTTTGATTGCACACCTCTACGAGGTACGTCTGTGCTTTGATTGCACACCTCTACGAGGTGCATCTTTGCTTTGATTGCACACCTCTACGAGGTACGTCTGTGCTTTGATTGCACACCTCTACGAGGTACGTCTGTGCTTTGATTGCACACCTCTACGAGGTACGTCTGTGCTTTGATTGCACACCTCTACGAGGTACGTCTGTGCTTTGATTGCACACCTCTACGAGGTACGTCTGTGCTTTGATTGCACACCTCTGCGTTTGTGCATGCTGGGTTTTGAAACACACCCTGTGGCCCCACCTCTTACGCTTGCTGAACCTCGCCATTTCGAAATGATGCTGCATGTCACCCACCAACCACACAGCCCACATGTGTCACCTCAATGCCGTGTGTCACCTCAATGCCGTGTGTCACCTCATTGCCGTGTGTCACCTCATTGCCGTGTGTCACCTCATTGCCGTGTGTCACCTCATTGCCGTGTGTCACCTCAATGCCGTGTGTCACCTCATTGCCGTGTGTCACCTCATTGCCGTGTGTCACCTCAATGCCGTGTGTCACCTCAATGCCGTGTGTCACCTCATTGCCGTGTGTCACCTCATTGCCGTGTGTCACCCCATTGCCGTGTGTCACCTCAATGCCGTGTGTCACCTCATTGCCGTGTGTCACCTCATTGCCGTGTGTCACCTCATTGCCGTGTGTCACCTCATTGCCGTGTGTCACCTCAATGCCGTGTGTCACCTCATTGCCGTGTGTCACCTCATTGCCGTGTGTCACCTCATAGCCGTGTGTCACCTCAATGCCGTGTGTCACCTCAATGCCGTGTGTCACCTCATTGCCGTGTGTCACCTCATTGCCGTGTGTCACCTCATTGCCGTGTGTCACCTCATTGCCGTGTGTCACCTCATTGCCGTGTGTCACCTCATTGCCGTGTGTCACCCCATTGCCGTGTGTCACCTCATTGCCGTGTGTCACCTCATTGCCGTGTGTCACCTCATTGCCGTGTGTCACCTCGTTGCCGTGTGTCACCTCATTGCCGTGTGTCACCTCATTGCCGTGTGTCATCTCATTGCCGTGTGTCACCCCATTGCCGTGTGTCACCTCAATGCCGTGTGTCACCTCAATGCCGTGTGTCACCTCATTGCCGTGTGTCACCTCATTGCCGTGTGTCACCTCATTGCCGTGTGTCACCTCATTGCCGTGTGTCACCTCATTGCCGTGTATCACCCCATTGCCGTGTGTCACCTCATTGCCGTGTGTCACCCCATTGCCGTGTGTCACCTCATTGCCGTGTGTCACCTCATTGCCGTGTGTCACCCCATTGCCGTGTGTCACCTCATTGCCGTGTGTCACCCCATTGCCGTGTGTCACCTCATTGCCGTGTGTCAACCCATTGCCGTGTGTCACCTCATTGCCGTGTGTCACCCCATTGCCGTGTGTCACCTCATTGCCGTGTGTCACCTCATTGCCGTGTGTCACCTCATTGCCGTGTGTCACCTCATTGCCGTGTGTCACCTCATTGCCGTGTGTCACCCCATTGCCGTGTGTCACCTCATTGCCGTGTGTCACCTCATTGCCGTGTGTCACCTCATTGCCGTTTGTCACCTCATTGCCGTGTGTCACCTCATTGCCGTGTGTCACCTCATTGCCGTGTGTCACCTCATTGCCGTGTGTCACCTCATTGCCGTGTGTCACCTCATTGCCGTGTGTCACCTCATTGCCGTGTGTCACCTCATTGCCGTGTGTCACCTCATTGCCGTGTGTCACCCCATTGCCGTGTGTCACCTCATTGCCGTGTGTCACCCCATTGCCGTGTGTCACCTCATTGCCGTGTGTCACCCCATTGCCGTGTGTCACCTCATTGCCGTGTGTCACCCCATTGCCGTGTGTCACCTCATTGCCGTGTGTCACCCCATTGCCGTGTGTCACCTCATTGCCGTGTGTCACCCCATGGCCATGTGTTTCATGATTCATCTCCTGTTAACCCCTGCCTTTTTCCATCTCACTACCTTACTTGTCGTTCAACACATCTGCCTCCCTTCGTTTCCTTCACCGCAGCTGCATCCCTACCCTCCCTTCACCACAGCTGCCACTTCCCATCCCATTCGCCCCTCCCATTCTCTCCTCAGGCCAAGGAGCACCCGCAGCTGTCCAACCTTGCCTCTATTCATCTCCCCTCGCTCTTTGCCTCACAAAAGGTGCGCCGGCAATGCAATGCTTGCTCTAGTAACCAAACCACCTCCTTCCCATGTTCATCTCCCTGTGTTTCTAGCACCGCTGCGTTCCTGATTGTATCAGTCCGTGCAGATTTAAGGATGTCATTGCGATGAATCTTTTTGCGAGCCAGAAGATATTTCTCTAACAAAATTCCAAAAAACGCATCCATTTTGAGGATTCTAAAAAAGTGGTGCGTGTCTGATTGTATTGGTCTGCTCAGATCAAGGATGTCACTGAGATGAATCTCTTTGCGAGCCAGAAGCGATCCGAGATGCGTCCAGCAATGGAGTGGCGTGTGGAGGGAGATGAGTACGGTGGGCATGGCAAGCGGAGAGAGGGGAGAGCTGGTGAACCGAGTGGGAATGAGCATGCTGTAGATTCACCACTTTTAGGGGGCCCTGTAGACCCGATTAACCTGGTTCTTGAGTTAGGCCCCATGGAAATCCGAGCTCTTGCCATCTCCTTCCTTTGAGAAGAATAATGCTGGCCATGAGAATGCGGAATTGCAGTACAAGGAGATCTCAGCATAGTAATGGATGTAATGTAAGCATCTTGTACCGTATTATCTACAGAGCACAGCACACCCACTGCATTCTGAAATGGTAGATCCCTTTCTACTGATTCTGCACATCTATGGTACCGGTAATCCAACCTCCTGTCCTCACTCCTCACCTCTGGTTCAACCTGCCTGCAGCCCAGCCATCGTGAGTCTGTGATCCTTCGCAAGGCATTGGGCTGAGAGTGACATGAGTACGGGAGCAGATGCAGCAGTGCTAGCACCATGCGGAGGCGGAGGAAGGATACGAGAGGGGGGGACGGGGAATGAGGAGAGGGGGAGGGGGTCTGGAGAAGGGGGTGAGGGTATTAGACGATGGAGAATGGTTTTTACAAGATTGATGGAGACAGGCAGACCATTACTAGGAGATTCTGAAGCGACCTAGACCCAAAAACTGTCAATCTCTCTCAAGCGGTCTCTGTAGGTTAGAGCTTGCTCCTTGCTGTTGGAGTAGGCTAGAGCTTGCTCTGGTCTTTATTTCGGTGTTCTTTTATTATTTCGCCATGCTTAGAGCGAGCTACGCTTTCAGGTTCAATTTAGGTTCATTTCGTAGCTATAGCATAAACTGAACACACCCTAAGTTCAATTAGGGTTTCCAACTCCATTCTAGAACTGCATGTCGACACTCTTTCCTAAACTAAACATTTTATTACTCTCGCTATCTTCTCCCTAGGCAGCAATGGCTCCCTCAGGCTCAATCTTAACATGGTATTCAGAGCCTAAGCCTAGGCGTTTCCTTCTAATCTACATCTCCTAATATATTTCGAGCCAGCCGATTTTCATTTTTTTTCTTTCTTTCTTTCTTTCTTTCTTTCTTTCTTTCTTTCTTTCTTTCTTTCTTTCTTTCTTTCTTTATTTCTTTCTTTTTTTCTCAAAATTTATTTCTAGACGACGCGGATCTGCCCTAGGCAGCAGCGCGACACCCTCCAACCGTCGCGCGACCCGCCCATGTCACGCCCGCGTCCCTCCCTTAGCGTCGCGCCACCCATTCCCCCCCCCCCACACGCGCGCGCTCTCTTCACGTACGTGCGTGACTTTACCATAATCGCGCGCGACCGGGGTATCCTAGACACACGCACCCTTTTCCCCCGTGGCGCGCCCCAATCGTCCTCCCCATACGCCTCCCCATGCTCTACTGCACGCCATCGACCTACCCCTCTGCACAATCCGCCCCTCCTCCTCCTCCTCACCTCTCTCCCTTCCTTCCCCTCTCAATGTCACTCTCTCCTCCGCCTCTCTCCTCTCCTCAACTACCGCAGCTGGTTGCCGCTCTTGTTCCGTAGCTATGCTCATCAAAACCTACCCTTCCACACCATCCGCCCCTTCACCCTCCTCCTCCTCTCCTCTCTCCCTTCATTCCCCTCCCCATCTCGCTCTCCTCTGCCTCTCTCCTCTCTTCTACCGATGCAGCTAGTTGCCGGCTTTGCTTCGTAGCCTTGCTCATCGAGACTGTCAAGATAGTAAGAACAGTGAGAAGCCATAGCTAGGGTTGACCTAGCTAGGCAAGCAAGAAATGAACAAAGGAGGGGTTGCACTAGTAAGAATGGGGATACAAATAGCAAACCCTAGAAGGGTTGTACTCGCTATAGAGCACCCCACTACAGGCTAGAGCATAATATTCTGACACACCCCCATAGCCAAAGTGGGGTGTAATCAGCAGAGCAAGCAAAGCAGTACAAGCTCAGGGTGGATCACAATGTCACCACACATTCTGAGCACAAGTTCAAGAAGCGATAGTTAAAAGTTCACAATTATGAGCAAAGCTACAACGGGCAAGTGAGGAGGAGGAAAGAGACTATGAGAGGAGAGGAGGTAGTGGGCGGCAGCTGAAGCTGCTGGCACACGGCGCAACTGGAGCAACTGGCACACGGGCAACTGGAGCAACTGGCACACTGGCAACTGGAGCAACTGGCACACGGGCTACTGGAGTAACTGGCTCCGCGGCTGAAAGTAGCGGCAGACGAGCAACGGACTCACGGGCGACTGGAGCAACGGGCTCACGGGCGACTGGCGCAACGGGCTCACGGGCGACTGGCGCAACGGTCTCACGGGCGACTGGAGCTGCTGGCTTCACGGCGGCCACCCCCTTCAACCTCCCCAAACTATCCCACTCCCCCTGACACACACCCGCTGCTACACCGCTAGCTCCACTCCCCCTTCACCCCCCCTTAGTACCACTCCGACGGCTCCAACAGGTCCACCCCCCTCAGCGGCAGCTGCAGCACAGGGAGACGGAGGAGGAGGAGGAGCAGGGAACGGCACACAGAAGCTGCACCCCCATACCCCCCACCCCCAAACCCTAATCCAGGAGTACGGGCAGAAGGAGGGGTGGGGCGCCTTCAGAAGCACGGGGGACAGCGGGGAGGACAGGGGCAGCGAAGAACGGGCCGCCCACGGGTCTGGCACAGCCTCCCGAACCGCGCGCAGGCGGCCCGAGCCGCGCGCGGGCCTGGCGCAGCCCGTACGGGCCGCGCGCGGGCCTGGCGCAGCCCGTACGGGCCGCGCGCAGGCCTGGCGCAGCCCGTACGGGCCGCGCGCCGGCTGTACGGGCCGCGCGCAGGCCACGACGGGCGACGGGGGGCGACGCGCGGGTCCCCGTCGCCCGTCGCAGCGCCTCCCGGGAGCAACGCGCGGTGTGACGGGGCAGAAACCCGCCGCGCGCCTCGGGGCGCACGGCGGGCAGAGAACCGCCGCGCGCCTCGGGGCGCACGGCGGGCAGAAAACCCTAATTTCAACGCCGCGTACCACGAGGCGCGCGGCGGACAGGGAGTAGCAGTAGCAGCGGAAGCAGTGAAGTGGTGGGCCCACAGGACAGGAGCGTAACCGCTCTGATACCATGTCAAGATAGTAAGAACAGTGAGAAGCCATAGCTAGGGTTGACCTAGCTAGGCAAGCAAGAAATGAACAAAGGAGGGGTTGCACTAGTAAGAATGGGGATACAAATAGCAAACCCTAGAAGGGTTGTACTCGCTATAGAGCACCCCACTACAGGCTAGAGCATAATATTCTGACAGAGACCTACCCCTCCACACCATCCGCCCCTTCACCCTCCTCCTCCTCTCCTCTCTCCCTTCATCCCCTCTCCATCTCACTCTCTCCTCCGCCTCTCTCCTCTCCTCAACTGCTACAGCTGGTTGCCAGCCTTGCTTCGTAGCCGTGCTCCTTCCCCACTCTTTTCCTCCGCCTCTTGTTTCTCCCCTCAGCTGCTCAGCAGCGGACTACTCCGCCGTTATCCCTCCTCCTCTTATTTCTCCTGTCAGCGGCGCAACAGTAGACTACTCTGCCGTGATCCCTTCTCCTCTTGTTTCTCCTCTCAGCGGCGCAGCAGCTTATTACTCCGCCGTTATCCCTCCTCCTCTTGTTTCTCTCCTCAACGGCGCGGCAGCAGACTACTTCGCCGTTATCCCTCCTCCTCTTATTTCTCCCCTCAGCGGCGCAGCAGCAGACTACTCCGCCACTATCCCTCCTCCTCTTATTTCTCCCCTCAACGGCTCAGCAGCTGACTACCTCGCCCCTATTCCTCCTCCTCTTTTGTCTCCCCACATCTGCTCCATTGCTATCCCCTCCCCTTGATGGCGTCTATTATTGCTCTTACCTCTCTTCCTCTGCGCTTCCGCCCTCACACTCCTTCCACCATACCTCCTCTCCTACCCTTGCCTTCCATGCCCTCCACTTCCTTCTCTGCCCCTTCCTCCCCTTACACCACCTCCCCTACTTGCCGCTGGACCCCCCCCCCCCCCTTCTCCACCCCTCTGCTTACATTCCGGTGTCCCATCAGCGTCGCCCTTTTGCCCAGGACGTTCCTGTCACTGTAACCTCTGGTATTGGTTCTCTGGCATTTGTTTTCAGTGTGACCATGCCATCTCAGGATAGCATCCTTGGTGCCTCCTATGGACCCTCGCGTTGTCGTTCTATTTTCTCCACCTCTTCAAAGCACTGCTTCTCACTCTCCCAATCCTGCGGATGCCACTCCCTCACTTCCTCTCACCTTGGATTTTGTCCTTGATAGTGCTACTACTGACTCTGACTTTCGTGATGCCGGTGTCATTCGTAATTTTCCTCGTCCCCTCTCTATTGATGAGGCTGGGGAGACCATGACCATGGTCTGCACTAGCACCTCCTCTCTTCCCTGTTTTGCCTCTCCCTCTGGCGTTGTTACTGGCCATATGTTCCCTCTTGCCGTCATAACCTCCTATCCCTCCTTGCCCTCCAGCGCCTGGGTGTGCGAGCACTCGTCCCCGCATGTTAACTCATGAATGCATGCGTGTTTGTGTGCATGAGTGTTTGCATGCCTGTGAGTGTGTGTGCATGCAGTCCGTTAGTCTGAGGGGGAGTTTGTTGGATGCACGTCATTTTGAGTGCATGTCATCCTAACGTCCTGCCGAGTGCTCGTGCTATTCATGCGTGCATTGTTTGCATGAGCAT